TGCAACTCCCCTGCCAGCAGAATTCAAGCTTGTGAAGGCTGCAGAGGATGAAGGGGTTGAAGCTGAAGAGCAGCAGCAATTTCAGTCCTTGGTGGGCAGCCTCTTGTACGCAGCAGTTCACACGAGGCCCGACATCTCTTTCTCGGTTGGGCAGCTGGCTAGGGTGGTGCAGAATCCATCAGAGGAGCAGGTGGATGCAGCTGAGCGTGTGGTGAAGTACCTGAACTCTCACCCAAGCATTGGAGTTCAATACTCCGCATCTGCACAGGTGAAGCAGAAAGGGGTGGAGGTGCTGAAAGAGAAGGGGGAGAGGCTTGGAGAAGGCAAGCTATTTCTCACTTGCTTTACCGATGCTACATGGGCTTCTGAGAAGGAGGATTCCTTATCTGTGGGAGGATACATCTGCGTAGTTGGGGGAGGACCTGTTAGTTGGAGGTCCAAGAAGCAGACGGAGACGGCACTCTCTTCCGTAGAATCAGAGTACATGGCGATGTTCCATGGGGTGAAGGAGGTGATTTGGCTGAGGAGGCTGTTAGAGGAGATTGGCCAGGAGCAGAAAGTTGCTACGCCGCTGTTTTGTGATAGCAAGGGGGCTCTTGGGATGGCCAGAAACGCTGTGCTTCATGGGCTGAACAAGCACATGCGTATCAAGTGGCACTGGCTGCGTAAGGAGGTGAAGAGGGGGACGGTGCATCCGATCTACATCAAGACTCACCAGCAGCCAGCAGACTTTCTCACCAAGAGGCTTGCGGATGAGCCTCATTGGCGTTGTGTGCGCATGAGTGGAATGAGCATGAACTAGCATGGAATGACGGGGATGCAGCCGGCAGGCTGAGGGGGAGTGTGTTGGGTGCAAATTTACATTGCACGACATCCTGCCGTCTGTTTGTACGAGTATGCGTGTGCGAATGCATTTGCGTGTGAATGGTGTGTTCGTGTGTTTGTTTGCTTTCGCATTTTTCGCTTGATGCATTTGCAGGTACTCGCGCAATGTGCGCTTCGGCACAACATTGTACGCGCTATGAACAGTGCAAGCAGAAAGGACGAGCTCGCAAAGGAACCCAAGATGGAAGCTTTGCAGTTCGGTTGAGTTGATTGCGCAGATTCAGTTCTATCCAACTCGAAATTGTACTGTTTTGTTTGGTTAACTATAGCGTAGCAGGGAAGGCACTATAGGGGTACAATTTAGGTGAAGGTTGGATGTTGTTTGTCTGTATCTGCATGCTACAAGGCCAGGGGAAACCAGCGGAACCAGCATTTGGCTGGTTGGGCAAAGACAAAACAGGTTCTGTTTTTAGAACCTGAACCTGGTTGTTGTTTTCCCAGGTTGGAAAAACAGAACCAGAGGTTGTTTACCAACCTACCACCTGCTATTTTGTCCAGCCAGGTTGGTTCTGTTGCTTGGAATTATTTGGGATCATCCCTGGTTGTTCCCAGGTTGATTCCCAAGGTCCTTGCTAGCTAGAACTATTTATTCCTTCTCTGTTTGTACCTGAATATAGTCAAATTGATTCAAGCGAATTCCTTCCTCGCTGGAATTTCGTTTCTGCGCTATTCGACGGCGGAATGCTACCCGAGTCAACGCTAGTATGCTAGCACTCCAACGCTAGGCAAACGCTGTCCGAGCCATAACTTAGTAATGGCAGAACTTTTCGCGAGGCAACTTGGCTCATTTTAAAGCTCTTGGAGCGAGCTTCGATATAGCGAATTCTCAGCTTAATCCGATCGACGGTCTGCACGGCACGCTGCACGACGTTCAAGGTACTCTTGCTGTTTTGACTAAGTCCTTCTTGATCCCTCTCTCTACAAACTCGGACCCGAGGATAGGGGCTGGTCTTGTACCAGGCACCCAGGGACCCTTGGAGGTGACCCCGAGGAGAGGTTTTAAGTTTGATTAAGTCTTAATAGCTTGAGTTTATTAGGCCCTTACACCAACAAGGTCATCTTGGGAACTCAGAGAAGGTTGAGTCCTGGAGGAGAAAGGCCAGAGAAGATCCTAGCTAGGTCAGCAGAGCCAACCACACTCGAATGTTCAGCGTTGTACTCAAGGCTACCAATTGTGAGTCAAGCCAACCATGGATCAGCTTGTCTTCCCAATTGCACCCTCTTGCAAGCTGCTTCCAAGAAGGCCACACTTCTCAAAAAGAGGGTGGTAGAGTCCCACTTGACTACGTGTACTTTTTGTCTCACTTTTTGTCCCTGCACCATTGGCATGACAACAATGAAAGGGTGGCAAGGGAAAGAAATACTGCCAACAGTGTACCATGACTACGGAACAGTGAATTTCGACAGCTATCACGTGCTGCTCCGATGTTGGATCGTTCTGAAATTTTGTGACAACCAGACCGAGTTTCGGACCAATCAGAGCTCGGTAGACAAGTCAGTAGCCGAAATAGTGAACTTGGGTGTTACAAAAAAAGAGTAACGCACACTTCAAGGATGCCATAAGTCTTGAAACTTAAACCTTGTCATGCCTTGGTAACTGCTTAAAAAATTCTGGAACGTTTAGAGTTTGATGAAGACATGTTGAGGAATTTCCCCTAAAAATTCCAGAAGCTGAGCAGGCTTGTAGGCTGAATGGGAGTGCGATGACCGTGCCACTATAGTGTGTTGGCACAACACGTACACCATGCCTGGGCCTAGGGTTTCGTCCTGCATCTTGAATTCTGCTGCTTCTTCAAACGAGACGAACGTCAGCCAGGCTTTGGCTTTCCCATCTTATTACATGGGAACTGCATGGGATGGTCGGGCTGCGTGACGGGTGCGGGCATCCTCCCCACTTCCAATTTGTCCTCTACCAGCAGCGGAACCGGTCGCTCCATCCGGGATAGCCTGTACTTCAGCGTCGAGTCACTCACTACGTTCGTCCAGTACCGCCGCACGCGGTGTGTCCTGCTTCCTGCCTGCATCGCATCTGCCACGACTCCTGGTCCTAGGATTGCCGTTACCTCCCGATATTCCGCTTGCACTTGTTCTATCACGTCCCCTTCCATGTCCACATTCTCCACCAAGTCCATTTTTCCACATGTGCCCCCGTGTGAGGATCTAGGATCGAGCTCAGAAAAGAGAGTTTGAATTGAATGAATCACCTGGGTACAACACGAGCTTATATATAGGCTCGACACAAGGCCTAGTAACCAGGTGTTGAGGGGTCGCAAAGCGTCCCGAACAGACCCTTTCCAAATTCGGTAGATGGCAATTCAGTGGCAACCGAATAGCCCAGAATTCGGTGTACGCAACCTAGTTCGGTGCTATAACTATAATAAAATATAGGAAAGCACCTAGCCTAGGAAATCAAGCAATTCATGCATGCATAAAATAAACCTATGCTAGAAATAGCAGAATAACGACAAGGCAAGCAAGCATAGCTGGCATAAGCCGTCGTACTCTCACACATCCCCCCCTCAAAGCTGGGTGGCGTGAGATACACCCTGCTTGACAAGATAGTCATTGAGAGCACGGCGTGCATTGCCCATATCAGCTTCTGCAACCCAACTGTCCTCGAAGGGGTCGTATCCCTTCCAGCGTATCAGGAACTCGAGGGTCTTGCCGCCGCGGCGCCGTTTTGTGAGAACGCGCTTGATCTCGTCCTCTTGTTCATCCTGCACGATGACATGTGGTGGTGGCGGTAGCTGTCGTCCCTGGAACTGTTGGTTGGGGTCCTTGTAGGGTTTGAAGCTGGACATGGAAGGCATTGTGAAGCTTCCACGTATCTGGTAAGCGCAGACGGAATGTAACTGGTGTCATCTGTGCCTCAACGAGAAAAGGACCACAGAAGCAAGGCCGGAGTTTAAATGGTAGGTGAGTCAGGTTCAAGTTGCGCGTGTCAAGAAGCACCTGATCTCCGACTGCTACTGAGTGATCCCGTCGCTGACGATCGGCATACTGCTTCTGGGAGTTCTGCATCGTGGTGAGACGCCGCTGAGTCTTCTCCCATAGCTGCTGCATGGTGGTGACGAAGTCGTGTGCGGCTTGGACATGTGCTTGTGTATTTGGCTGCTATGGTGTGAGTGGTTTCCGTCCATAACACTGGAAGAAAGGAGTTTTTCTTGTGGCTGCATGCGAAGCGTGTTGTAAGCGAGCTCTACGGTTGGAAAGTGTATGTCCCAGTGGCTGATGTCGTCTTTGCAAGCTATGCGCAGTAACTGTTCAACCACCTGGTTGAGTCGCTCTGTCTGTCCGTCAGTCTGGGGGTGGTATGCTGAAGACATCGCAAGCTTAGTCCCCAACAGTCCCATGAGCTCCTTCCAGAACTTACTCGTGAATTTGGGATCTCTGTGTGAGATGAATGTAGCGGGGATGCCGTTGATAGTGATGATGCAATCGAAGAAGAGACAAGCAGTTGCTTTAACAGTAGCTGTGGCGTTGGTCGCAATGAAGTGACCCAATTTGGAGAACTTATCGACCACGACGAAGATGGAATCATATCCTCGTGAGGTCGAAGGAAGTCCTGTGATGAAGTCGAGGCTAACGACCTGCCATGGCTGCTCCGGTACGGGTAGAGGCTGAAGTAACCCTGCTTTCTTCTGCTTGCTACTCTTCATCCGCTGGCACGTGTTGCATGAGGTAACGAGCTGCTGTACGTCTGCTGCCATCCGGGGCTAGTAGTAATACTTCGCTATTCCCGCTAACGTCTTGTTGCTCCCGAAATGTCCCGCGTATGGTACGTCGTGAAACTCCTCTAGTAGGATCTCGTAGCAGGGCGTAGTTCAGTACCCAAATCTTTTCTGAACCCTTCCTTACTGCTAAGTCTTTCTCCCACTATAACAGCTTCTGTTTCTCTGCCGTTGCGATCTCTGCGTCCACGGAGTACCCATGTTGGAATAGACCCTTAAGAAGAGGGGTCATCCCTTCGAGCTAGATGCCTGCTACATGGCCGGGGCGGCTCAACGCGTCAGCTTTGTTGTGTAGCCCAGGTTTGTAAACAATGTCGTAGTCGAAGGGGGTCTCCAATAAGTCCACCCAACGCACATGTCGTCGAAAGAGCGTCGGACGCGACTTCAGATATTTGACACTGCAGTGGTCAGTGAAAACACAGTCTTGAAGGCTACGATGGCTGATGCTTCCTTGTCGTGAATCAGATAGTATAGTTCTACTCCGTGTAGCTTCTTACTAAGGTAGGCGATAGGCTGTAAACCGCGTCCGTGATCCTGCATCAATACTGCTCCGACTGCCTGGTCACTAGCGTCTGCTTCCACCACGTAGTCCTTGTCTGGGTCCGGTAGGATGAGTACTGGTGCTGTGGTCAGTGCTGTCTGTAGCTGCTCCATGGCTTGCTGATGAGGAGTATCCCATTTGAAGGGCGTATCCTTTTTCAGTAGGTCGGTCAGTGGCGCTGCTATCTTAGCGTACTGCGGCACGAACCTGTTGTAGTAGTTGGCGAAGCCTAGGAACTGCTGCAACTCCTTCACGTTCTCCGGTACTTTCCACTTCTTAACGGCTTCGATTTTCCGCGGGTCCACGTGTACGCCCTCCGCACTCACTATGTGCTCGAAAAGCTGCACATTCTTCAGGGCGACGTCACTCTTTGACAGCTTCACGTAGAACTTGTTTTTCCGTAGGAACTCGAACACCTTCCGTAGATGCTCCACGTGCTCCTTCATGTTCTTGGAGTAGATGAGGATATCGTCCAGGTACACCACTACGCACTCGTCCAGCAAGGACCGTAGGATATGGTTCATCTCCGCCTGGAACGTTGCTGGTGCGTTGCAGAGTCCGAACGGCATCACCAAGTATTCGTAGGAGCCGTATCTGGTACGGAACGCCGTCTTGTGGATCGAGTTGTCCGCCATCTTGATCTGCCAGTAACCCGACCATAGGTCCAGCTTCGATAGACTCTTGCACCACGCAGTTAGTCGGATACTTATTTTTTACTGTCTGTTTGTTCAGTGCGCGGTAGTCGATGCACATTCGTAAACTGTCGTCTGGTTTTGGGGTGAAAAGTACTGGTGCACTGTAGGGAGAGGTGGATGGGCGGATCAGTTGTCTGTCCAGTAAATATTCTATCTGCTTCTTCATGTCTGTCAGTTCTGTCAGACTCATTCGGTATGGTGCACGTGAGACGGGTTTCGCACCTGGTTCCTCCACGATCTCGTGCTCATGGGTGCGTGCTGGAGGTACGCCTGCGGGTAGGTTGTCAGGCATTATATACTTGTACTGCTCCAAGACCTCCTTCACTGCTGCAGGAAGCTCCGAACTCGGCTTCTCCTCCTCTGCTGCTACCATGACCAGTGCTAGGAAACCCGTGTTTCTCTCATTCACCGTCCGTTCAAACCGTGCCATTGTCGTTTCAGAAACATCCCCTGTATCCGTCCAGCTTCGTAGCTCTATCCGCTTCCCGTTGTTGTAGATGCACACCTTACTGTTGACCCAATCGATCTCGGGGTTGAACCGCTTCAGGAAATCTCGCCCCAAGATAAAATCTAACCCTTTGATGTTGGTGACTGGTAGCTTCGGCTTTCACCCCAACGCACCTATATGCAGTTGCAGTGATGCTTCGCCATGGATGGGAAGCTTCGTACCGTCCACCATCGTTGCAGAGAATAGGGTCTCCTCCGCCTTCTCTCCGATTTTCTCCAATGTTCCGCGGTCACACACCGAGTGAGATGCACCACTGTCCACCAGTGCCTGGAGGCGTCGCCCATTGTGTAACACCTCGAGGAGGAGTTGTTTCTGCTGCGCTGAGTAGCCAAAGAGGGTCTCATTAATAGGATCATAGGGTACATCAAAATGAATACCTTCCTTTTTTCCTGTACATGACTCAGCACTTCTCACTTCCAACTTCACCTTGGGGGTAGGAGGATTTTTCCGAGGCTTGTATAATTTCTCCTGAGCCTGGATTTGTCCTCTAAGCCTTTGCAGCTGTGTAGGCTTCACCTGTGGGCAATGGGGAGCCTTATCATGGTGCTGCGGGGAGAGAATATTAACTCCACGGAACGCACGACCCTTTTCTACGCTCCGTAGTACTTTGCCCAACTTCTCAGGTACCTGAATAATTTGTAAGGCTTATTCTTGGCCTCTAAATCTCCCCTAAATTTCAAAGGCTTGAAAACCACGAGAAGCAATATTTTTCGTTAGAGTATCTTACTTACGGAGCCTCCATACGCCTCGGTGATTTCCCCTGATGCCAGCCGGTCGTGACATTTTAAAATCTCAACATCATTTTCCCCTTTTGTCACCAGCTCTGAAGTCGCCACGTCGTCGCCCTTTTCGTTTTTCTCAATCGCCAGGTCGATCCACGGCTACTGGCGATTCCCGTTTTTTTACTTCGGGGGTGCTCCACTGTTGCCGCCCAGCATTGCCGCACGCGTTTTTTCATTTTGTTGCACGAAAAGATTTGATGCCCCGCTCCGGGCCAAATGTACGGTTTGGCCCGTAACGTCATGTGTCGGGTTGACCTCACGTCAACGAGTCGTACCTTCTAGCTGCCCGTGCAATGTCGCGGTAGCTACTGTAGTTCGCCGTAATCACCTGCCGTCGAATCTCCATTTTTAATCCTTCGGTGTACGCTTGGATTTTTTCCCCTTCAGTCAGGTCGGTGATTCGGTTGAACAGTAACTCCATCTCCTACGTGTATTGTGCTATGCTGCTGTACTATTTGTGTCGATGAACCTAATGTCGCGCCATGTAGACGAAGTTGATTGGTTTGAAGCATTTGATCAGATCCTCTCGAAACTGCATCCACGTTTTCTCCCCGCGGGCCACGTCAGAATACTAAATCCACTCAGGTGCTCGTCGGGGTGCTGCGTCGTGTGTCGGGTTGAGCAGCTAATGCCTTCGAAATAAATTTCGAGGGTCGCCACAAAACGTCGAACGTCAGATCCTTTCGCGCTTGGATCGAACGCTTCGGGGAGCCTCGGGCGAGCTGCTTCGAGGTTCGGCGACGGTGGTGCCATCGGTCCGTGAAATGTCGGTGTCGCCACTGCTGCTGCTGCCGTCGCTGCTACGTTCGCTGCTGCTGCGGTGACTGCTCCTGATTGGTGTGTCAGAAGGGCCTCGATTCGCCGAAATTTGGTGTATGCAACCTAGCTCGGTGCTATTGCTGGTGTAAGGGCCTAATAAACTCAAGCTATTAGGACTTAATCAAACTTAAAACCTCTCCTCGGGGTCACCTCCAAGGGTCCCTGGGTGCCTGGTACAAGACCAGCCCCTATCCTCGGGTCCGAGTTTGTAGAGAGAGGGATCAAGAAGGACTTAGTCAAAACAGCAAGAGTATCTTGAACGTCGCGCAGCGTGCCGTGCAGACCGTCGGTCGGATTAAGCTGAGAATTCGCTATATCGAAGCTCGCTCCAAGAGCTTTAAAATGAGCCAAGTTGCCTTGCGAAAAGTTCTGCCATTACTAAGTTATGGCTCGGACTGCGTTTGCCTAGCGTTGGAGTGCTAGCATACTAGCGTTGACTCGGGTAGCATTCCGCCGTCGAATAGCGCAGAAACGAAATTCCAGCGAGGAAGGAATTCGCTTGAATCAATTTGACTATATTCAGGTACAAACAGAGAAGGATTAAATAGTTCTAGCTAGCAAGGACCTTGGGAATCAACCTGGGAACAACCAGGGATGATCCCAAATAATTCCAAGCAACAGAACCAACCTGGCTGGACAAAATAACAGGTGGTAGGTTGGTAAACAACCTCTGGTTCTGTTTTTCCAACCTGGGAAAAACAACAACCAGGTTCAGGTTCTAAAAACAGAACCTATTTTGTCTTTGCCCAACCAGCCAAATGCTGGTTCCGCTGGTTTCCCCTGGCCTTGTAGCATGCAGATACAGACAAACAACATCCAACCTTCACCTAAATTGTACCCCTATAGTGCCTTCCCTGCTACACTATAGTTAACCAAACAAAACAGTACAATTTCGAGTTGGATAGAACTGAATCTGCGCAATCAACTCAACCGAACTGCAAAGCTTCCATCTTGGGTTCCTTTGCGAGCTCGTCCTTTCTGCTTGCACTGTTCATAGCGCGTACAATGTTGTGCCGAAGCGCACATTGCGCGAGTACCTGCAAATGCATCAAGCAAAAATTGCGAAAGCAAACAAACACACGAATATTCCATTCACACCCAAATGCATTCGCACACGCATACTCGTACAAACAGACGGCAGGATGTCGTGCAATGTAAATTTGCACCCAACACACTCCCCCTCAGCCTGCCGGCTGCATCCCCATCATTCCATGCTAGTTCATGCTCATTCCACTCATGCACACACAACGCCAATGAGGCTCATCCGCAAGCCTCTTGGTGAGAAAGTCTGCTGGCTGCTGGTGAGTCTTGATGTAGATTGGATTCACCGTCCCCCTCTTCACCTCCTTACGCAGCCAGTGCCACTTGATACGCATGTGCTTGTTCAGCCCATGAAGCACAGCGTTCCTGGCCATCCCAAGAGCCCCCTTGCTATCACAAAACAGCGGCGTAGCAACTTTCTGCTCCTGGCCAATCTCCTCTAACAGCCTCCTCAGCCAAATCACCTCCTTCACCCCATGGAACATCGCCATGTACTCTGATTCTACGGAAGAGAGTGCCGTCTCCGTCTGCTTCTTGGACCTCCAACTAACAGGTCCTCCCCCAACTACGCAGATGTATCCTCCCACAGATGAGGAATCCTCCTTCTCAGAAGCCCACGTAGCATCGGTAAAGCAAGTGAGAAATAGCTTGCCTTCTCCAAGCCTCTCCCCCTTCTCTTTCAGCACCTCCACCCCTTTCTGCTTCACCTGTGCAGATGCGGAGTATTGAACTCCAATGCTTGGGTGAGAGTTCAGGTACTTCACCACACGCTCAGCTGCATCCACCTGCTCCTCTGATGGATTCTGCACCACCCTAGCCAGCTGCCCAACCGAGAAAGAGATGTCGGGCCTCGTGTGAACTGCTGCGTACAAGAGGCTGCCCACCAAGGACTGAAATTGCTGCTGCTCTTCAGCTTCAACCCCTTCATCCTCTGCAGCCTTCACAAGCTTGAATTCTGCTGGCAGGGGAGTTGCAACCTTGCGCTCATTCTCAATCTCATACTTCTCCCCCAGCTCCTTGATGAACTTCTCCTGGTGCAGCTTCAACCACCTGTGATCTGGATCCCTCTCCACGTGCATCCCGAGGTAGTACTTTACCTCCCCAAGGTTCTTGCACTTGAAGTTTTCCATCAGTTGCTGCTGCACTTTCTGGATCTCCTTCATGCTGCTGCTGAAGAGAAGAATGTCGTCCACATAGACCAGAAACAGCACCAGCTTCTCCCCCTCGCCCTTGAGAAAGAGGCTCTCATCACAGCTGCTGGTCCTGAATCCCATCTCCTCTAAAACAGCTGCCAACTTCTGGTACCAGCAGCGTGGCGCCTGCTTCAAGCCGTAGATGGACTTGTTGAGCTTGCACACCCTGCCCGTACCATCCTCATACCCAGGCGGCTGCGTCATGTACACATCCTCCTCTAAAATCCCATTCAGGAATGCCGTTGAAATATCCATCTGAATGATGAATTTTCCACTAACAGCTGCATCTGCCAACAAGACACGGAGGGTAGGGGGTTTGGCAGTGGGAGCAAAGATCTCGTTGAAGTCCTGCTTCTCCTTCTGCATAAACCCCTTCGCCACCAGCCTACTCTTGTAGATGGTGACCTGCCCCTTGTCATCGGTCTTGATCCTCAGCACCCACTTGCATTGTATCGCTTTCTTCCCATCAGGCAGCACCACCAGATCCCATGTCCTATTCTCCAGCAGACTCTGGTACTCAGCATCCCTAGAAGCCAGCCACTTGTCCCTATCTGGTCCAGCTAATGCCTCCTCCATGCTAGCTGGTTCCTCTGGTGCAGGGGCAAGAAAACAGTACGCAGGCTCATCCTCCTCATCCGGGTCATAGCCATGAGGTAGAATCAGCAATGCCTCTTCGGTCCCTAGCTGCTGCTCTGCTGCATCAGTTCCTGCAGTCAGCTTCTTAGTAGCCATACGGGTACGTCCTGGCCTGGAGACGGGTGTCTCCCATCCCTTCATAACGACACCCTTCGGCTTCTTAGTTTTTCCCTGCTGCTTCTCTCCTCCCTCGGGTCCAGCAGCTCCACTAGTGCTGCCGCCAGTTTCCACACCATTTTCTCCACCAGCAGATGCCTCCTGTACCTTCTCTCCATCACCATTTCCAGCAGCTGCCTCCTCTCCCTCCTCCCACACACTAGGAGTCAGGTCCAGCTGCATGGTGATCTGCTCCATCTGCTGGGACACCCTTGTCTCCGGCTGTTTCTCCCAGCTCCCATACATCATGCCCTCAATGAATTTCACATCCCTGCTGTCAAACAACACACCCTTGGATGGTTCCCACAGCAGCCATCCCTTGCTCTCAGCAGCCAGCCCCAAATGCACACACCAGATTGCACTCGCCCCCAACTTACTGCGGTAGGTCTTGGGGACGTGGGCGACTGCCATGCAACCGAACACCCTCAGCATGTCCACCGGCGGCTTCCTCCCAAGCCACCTCTCCAAAGGCACCCACGAGTCATCCCCAACCTTGGTGAGCACCCTGTTCCTAGCGACAGTGGCGTGCCGGACAGCATGAGGC